TATGTATGTATGTATGTTTATATGTCCATATATATATATATTATATTTATTTATTTACATAATTATTCGGGCAACATTGGTTAGGTGAGGAATCGTGTGGTTCTGACCTGACCAGATGTCCCACCAGAGAAGGGGGGCCTTTTCTCTCATTGGAATTTGTTTGTCAGAGGTGTCGCTTGTGGGTGTGACCAAGTGTGAGTGAGAGGCACAGGAAGGGCAGAGTGCAAGCAGCATGCATAACGCTGCATGCGGCCGCATGTGTTGAAAATCTTGTCCTTGTGTTCCCTTACCCAGGAACCATCTCTAGAAGAAGCAATATTGGTCAACACTCATGTAAATACATACACATGCACACATAACATGCGCGGTACAACGCACGATAATCCAGGACTGCCTCTGCTGCATCTAAGACTCACAGTGCATTTGAGCCTCTCGGTGAAGGTACTCCAGACCTGGCGATCACATGAGATTCCTCATGACAGAGGCATCCTGGTCTACAAGCACAGGTCAGGTGCCTTGCAAGCACTGTCTGAAAATCTCGCGCCACCAGCTTTCTCGCATCTCGATACCCTTGTCCTCAAACCAAACACGCGTCAAATTGCACGTCATCGCCAGTCTCTGCCTTCATGCCTTCATTGGTCATTCAATTGCAAGCCACGTCTCGTAAGCTCGCTTGGCAAGCTTTGTGAGATCGCCACCGAAGTACCTGCAGCTTTCCAGTCTATGCCTGAACTTGCCCGCTCATCACGAAATCGTCTACACTCGTCTGTTTCTCCGCTGGTCCTTGCACCGCCTGGGCGGGATTCGAGGGCGGGGGAAGCTGAGGTACCTTCGCTGTGTAGTGCCCCACTTTTTCGCGACAATCGACCTGCGCCAGCGCCCAGCGCCCTGAGGGGCTTGCCCTGCATCTCCATTTCAGTCCGCAGGCTCGAAGGCTTGGGCGCCAGGTCGAAGGAGATGCTGCAACCCGGCATGACCTTGTGCCTGTGCGAAGTCCACCGCCCGGGCACCAGCCTGGTCTTGACTCTGCAAATCTGCCCGTGATCCCAGCAACACCCACGCCACCTGCAGGGCATGACATCATCCAAATTGCTGACTTGGGTACATGGCTGCGTGCTCGCAGGGACCCCACGTTTACTGCCTAAATGCATGGTTTCACCGTTTGTGGAAGCTCAATGGGTTAGCATGGGTTAGCGCGGAGATAAGCGGAGCAACACCTGCATGTTGGCATCTGGCCCAGATCGAAAGCCAGACGGATCCCGATCCTGGTAGCCATGGGCAGCCAAGTGCAGGGCTGTGCGGCCCTGGCAATCCTTTGTCTGAATATCCGCTTTGGCTAGAATCAGCATGCGGGCCACCCCCACGTGACCCCGCAACGAGGCCAAGTGCAAAGGCGCCATTCCCATTCGGTCACACGCATCCAGGGAGGCGCGTCTCCTGAGCAGAGCCTCTACCACCGGAGCATGGCCGTTGAAGGCCGCGTGCAAGAGGGGCGTCGACCGTTGAAGATCATCCTGATGTTCGACATCTGCTCGAGCCAGAAGCAGACATTCCACCACGGAAGGATGGCCGTAGAAGCTGGCTTTCTGCAGCGCATGCCCGTCGTGTGCGATGTCGGCCTTCTGGGCCAGCAGCCACAAAACCACCGCCTGTGCACCATAGGTCGCTGCCTCAACCAAAGCACTACCCAACAGAGCAGTGGACTGCATGCCATGTGCTGCGGCCATCTTCACAAGCATTTCCAGCACCGACACGTGCCCTCGATGGGCCGCAATCTTTATCATGTCAGACAAGAGCTCAAAATCCTGATGCAAACCAGGAGCAGCTGCTGCCAAAATCCTGGCAAGGATGTCTACATCGCCTAAGCGTGCGGCCAGATATGCTGCTCCTCTACTCCTTGCCGGTGTCCATGCGTGACTTGAGAAGATCAGTCGGCTGAGGTCTCCATCAGCTATAGCATGCATTTCGTTCGTCCATGACTTGCTTCCGTGCGAGCCCTCCCAGCCCAGTGCCACGCTGTCATCGAGGTTCCAAGTCGCATGCCACCAGCCTGTGGGCACGTACATAACTTCACCTGGCTCCAGTATCGCGACTTGCAATCCAGGTGGTGGCTGACGGGTGTACCACCAGGGTGGAATGGCCGGTGGCCTTGGGGAACCCGGTGGCAGCAAAAACCACACCTTCCGGCCCACTAGTTCTGCCAGCCAGCTCTCGTGGTGATGATGGAATCCGACTCCAGTGTGGCGACGCCCAGCACTGAAAATCGGTGCACCGTGGATTCCCGACAGCAGTGCAGGAATCGTGTAAGTGCCCCTTAAGGCAGCATGCACAGCATGATAATCGTTCTCGAAAATCACAGCCTTGGATGGTCCAGCACTGAAGTATTCGCTCAACGACATCACTTGATGAGCCGGCCCGGGATTTCCGTACTCGTGCAGTGAAGCGCACGGCCGGGTGCGGAGGGACGTCTCGCTTAAGCAACTGCAGAAATCTCGTATCTGCCATTTTCGACACCTCCAATCATCGATCAACCCCCCTATCCTCAATGGCCTCTCGCTGTCCAACTCTCCGAGGCTGCGCGATGCCACGAGCTCCACCTTCGGCTTCCACTCCTCCAGTGCAGCTATCTCCTCGCGGGTCGGCGGGACCCAACCCCCGGAAGGAGCCAGTGGGCATCGAACCTTCGCCGAGTCGGACATGGCCATGGCACGCTATGCAACCTATGGCCACGCGGAAGAGTCTCTACATGTTTCTACCGACACACTTCATGTCCTGGCGTGCGCAGGGGGGCAAGCGCCGAAGAACGTGAGCCAGACCTGCAGAACCCCCCAGAATTCAACTCAAGGCCGCTTTCAGAAGCAGTCCGACGCCGTGCCAAAACAAGCCCAGAGGATGGCATGGGAGGAGCACGGTTCATTGACCAGGTAGAAGAAATCTTGGTCGTGGAAGGCTTCGTAGGTCCTCCGAAAGACAATCAAGCTGTGAAGTCTTCAGCTTCAGTGGGCGTTTGGCTCCGTCCAGTCCTTGCCACGTGCACGTTATCAAATTCTCTCATTCTGTGAAACTCTTCCTTAGCTGTGGCAGATGCTCGCAGACAGCGCTTCGCCAAACCAAGTGTTCAGATAACTACAAGAAGCAGATTGTCAGCTAGTGCGCCCAACTGAGAACTGAGACAAGTGTCAAGAATTTCTTGCAAACCTGCCCGGGATGTAGTGCTGACATCGAAGATTTTCAACAATCGAAGCGATACGCGAGCCTGCCTCCGGCGTTTGAATTCTTCTTGCTATAGAACTTGATGCAGTAGGACGGGCCGCTGTTGTGACCACCTCGGAAAAGCTGAACCAGGCCTTCCGGGGGGGGAGCCTTCCTTCCTCGGCGCCCTGAATGCTGAACCCTCGGCTGCTCCTTGCAAGGCACATGCAGAGCAGTAGTCGAGCCAGGAGTAGTTGTCCTCCTTCTTGGCCAGATACATGATGCCTCAGGCCGAAAGACGCCCCGAGAATCCCCGGCAGGCCGCTGTGGGGAGGCAAGCGGCCGTTCGGGAACCCCTTCATAACCCCCAAAATTCCCTTCCTCAGGACACCTTGAATATCCTGAAATGCCAGGTTCGGCATCCCACATTGGTAACCACCCATCGCACCTTGACCACCACGGCCAAGTTCACGCACCACCGTGTAGCCACCATCCTGGGCAACCAAAGGAGACAATGGGCTTTGGCGGGGAGGGACGCCCAAGAAGGCCCTAACCAAAACCGAAAACAGTGCCATGGATACAGTATAATGCCCTCTTAAGGTCTGAGAAACCCCGGAGATGAGTCGCTGAGGGAACTGAAGGGGGTGTGGAAGTACAGAAGCACAAAGATACTGCAACATATTGTGAACCTGCTTAGCGATACCAACTACCCGCAGAAGCAGAAGAACCGCTGATACAAACTTATCCAAATAATCCAATTGCTTGGTGCTAGACCAGATGGTGCCCTGGCGCATTGTCTGGCTATTGCTAGGAGCAGAGCTTCGTAGTCACTGTGATTGGATGGAGGGTCGCTGTTGGTTGTTGCACTTTCCCTTTTTGGAGTGGACGTTTGTGTGAAAGCGCCTGTCATTCCAAAAGCACGGAACATGCATGGGGTCGCCAGGCCAGGGCAAATACAATTGAGCTGGGCATGTTCATGCCGCATTGTGAAGGAAGGCTCCCCCCTTCTGCCCGCTGCATCCCCCAAAGTGGCTACGGCACATGTCGCGAAGTCCCAACAAACCTTGAAGCGAACACGTCCAGAACCTGACAAGTGTTCTGCGGGCACCTCCAGTGTCCTCGCTGGGAACTCATCGAACTTCGCAGGCCCGGCGAGAGACCAGCGCCATTCCAACAACGTCTTCTTCACCATGACCCTCCTTGGACTCAAGCAGGCTAGACGCTCTCTTATGCTGTACCGCCCCCTCCCCCCCCACCACCACATATTGCCAAAACCATACCAGATCCGCACACTGCTGTGTCGCATGATCAGAGCAGAGCGGCACCTCCTCCAAGCTCAACCGACCGCTGCCAGTGAAGTCAAAGCTGGAGAACGTCTCTGGAAGGGTACCTCGGCATGAGCCAGGGAGAGGCTCGGACAGGCTTGAGAACTGTCTGCATCTGTTGCCGGGGTCCAGGTGCAGCTGGGGAGCTGAAAAGGAAGTCTGGAAGGTCGAAATGCCGAGCCTCGTGCTGAGCAGAAACGTCCGCAGATTGCAAAGCAGACGTACTCCAGGCCCTCCGTGCGTCGCAAGCCAAGAGGCCAGGTCCGCCGTGAAGTTGATGGCCTCACCCAAGCTCAAGGACCTGTCACAGCGGCTGGAAAGTGTGTTCCTCTTCCACATCAAAAACCCAAAAACCACAAAGCGGAGCGGAGCGGGCCCTGCCTTCTCCCCATCGTGTCCCTTCCGCTGGCGTAGCGGTGGAAAAAGAACATGACCTTTGTGTTCCTCGTCAACCTGGCCACTGCAGGGTCATCATCCCCCAAATGTGGGATGTCTCCTGTTGAATCCCCTGACCAGCCCTGACCCATCCTAGCCCCTCACCCCCCAAACTCGCCTTTGCTGCAGGCAGCGGTCCACTGCCAGCAGGATCTGGCCATTGGGATCTTGCGGGCTCGCCATAGCTCACAACCGAAGGGCTCGGCTTCGGGACTCAATGTTTCTGTTTCTTGTGTTTTTTTTTCATAAGGGGTTTTCATGTTTTGGGTTCGGCTCACACACTTAGACACTGAAACTTTGGAGGGTGTTTTAGCTTTTAGTCCTTCGGGCTGGATAGACAACACTGGGGTGAATCAGGTCTCGGCCATGAGGCAACACCGGGCCCATTCCATCCATCTCAGGAACCCCTGCGGCTGAAAGACGAATCCTCTCTGCAATGTCGGATGTATATACTGGGTAGGGAATTTGTCTGGCTGGCATGAGTTGGAATCCTTAGAAGCACATTGACTCGTTTCCCGTCTGGGCTGCCAAATCTTTGTGTTTTCGATGCAACCTATTCTGGCAACAAAATAGTTTGCCGCAAAAGCTGATTGGATGATCTGGCTGCGGGCAAAGCAGGGACGGACGAAGGACACTATTCCAAGTTCCTCCCACGCGAGACTCGGGCACTCTGGCGCTCGGCTCAGTTCTTGGCAATGTGGCCGCGGTGTCCCGTGGGCACTGCTGATGATACTTGAGATTCCTGCTCGACTCAGAGGCTCAGAGCACACACAGAGCTCGCAGCTCCGGAAGATGCCCAGGCGCCTATCTCCCAGCTCCAGCTTACAAACCAACGATGCTTGTGGGACGATCAGCAAGCTTTGTGCCTTCAGTCTCAAGACACGACACGTGACGGCGGCGTGATGAAGGATAATGGCCTCGCCCCGGGAGCATAGCTTCAGCACGGACTCCGCATCACCGTGATCACTTTGCCACTGTCCTGGGCCGGCTCGACCCTTCACCAATTCGACATCTCTCCGCTCAAGTCGGCATGCCACCGCTTCAAAAAACCTTGGATGTTTCCACGTATGGTGCTCAAACAACCTACGCAGGAGGAGCCTGCACCACCACACAGGCTGCTGTCTCTGCTTGGGTGCTTTTCGTTGCTTTTGTCGTTTTTTGGAACCCCCTACTGAAAAACTTTCCGGCCTGAAGACGACAGCGGAGCCGTCAGCAGCGACTTCGCTGCTTGCTTCAAACAGCGAGCCTGGGGCGGAATTGAATAATCCTCTGGCATGATAAGTGTCGGATACAAAGCTGTGGCATCAACGCAGAAGTTCCGAGGTCCGCGCAGCGACTTCGCCTTAGAGTGCAAAGCCCCAAACTGGACCAAAAGCAGCAGTCACCCACTCTTCAAAGCTCCAGCTGGTTCGAGCCCCGCACTGTCAGCGCCTGCCTGTCGGCAATCGGGAAAGGCTATACACCACCGTGTAGAGGCCAAAACTATTTCGGAACGGGATATCCGGATGCCTCTGAAGCGGCGCCTTTGGAGAAGGATACCTGTGACGGCCCCGCTCTGATAAAGAAACCCCCTTTTGCAATGATTGAAGCCGAGCTGCATACAAGACCAGGCCTCTGCCAACTTCTGTCCACTTGTCCTCCCAACCATAGGGAGTGGACTGCTAGGGTGAAAGCTGTCTGTGGGACCTTACTTGCACTGCAGCGCCAAGGGAAAAAGAATGCCAAGGAAGCCACGAAAGCCTCGAAAGCCTCCGCACATCCGAACCCTCAACCATGCAGTTCCAAGGAAGCTGATATAGATAATATAGAACAATATATAGTATTCTAATACAGTGTAATGACAAATTCCGTGGCTCCAATCCTCGGACTCAGCCACAAGAAGTCGAGCCTTGGAGCAGCGCTGAACCACCTCAGAGTCGAGTAAGATACTACACCTAAGAGGGGACTAGATTATATATGTTATGCAGCCTTATGCTATATGATTGTTATGTGATACTATATGATACTATATTATGCTATGGCTATATTATATTATCTTCTACTATCTTCCACTATCCTATACTATATGATACTATATGATACTATATGATACTGTGGTATACTATATTATTCTATATTGTACGGCATTGTACTATATTCTAGTATAGTAGTAAACTATATTGTAGTGTACTTAACAGTTCCCAAGGGACTTTGGCTGCAAAGCCACCTGATATCCCCAGGCAGCAAACCGAACAGACTGCACATGAGACAGCTTTTTGCCAGGCTTCGCAGACACGGTGGCAGCCTCGTTACGTTTCAAAGGTCCACCATCTTCTTCCCTAACATCCAATAGAGCGCATGAGCATCGTGAGTTGCAACTTCTGCCAGGAGGTTTGACAAAGCAACGGAATCCATGGAGCAGGGGATGTCATGCGCAGGAACCCCTCGGGTGCTCCGAATTTGTGCAAGCCTATGGAAAAAAGCTTAAATGCGGGAGCCGCGCCCCCAGTAGCAGGCAAAGCACATCCGGATGGAATCAAAGGCGCTCGAGACATTCTCTGTTTTGAGCGCTAGCTGCGGCACAAAAGAAGCACGGCTAAAGGCCCTGCTTACATTCTGACCAACTATGGAACCGGATTCCGTCAGACCTCAGTGGCACAACGACCTCAGATGTCGCTCGCGATTCAAAACCGCGAGCTGCGGCCAGTCTCATCAGGCCAGCAACATATATGGCAGCCCAGGTGCGTTGAGAATTGACTGGAAAATCATATACACTTCACCTGTCTGTGGCAATGTAAGGAAGAAGATGTAAAGGCATCCAGCGACTTAATAGGATGCTCTGAGAGCATAGCTGAGTTTGACGATATTGCAGCGTCAGGGCACGTACATGCTGTTTTAGCGTTGCCATGCACTGTTGTCGGTGCAGCCGGGATGCAATAGAGAGCTCCGCTCGCTCTCCGGAAGCTTTTCAAGAAGAGCCTGACTGCAGCGTAACGCACCGAGGAGGTCACTGATCCGTGAGTCAGGTTGAGCAGAAACATCGAGTGCTAACGAAGCTCTAAAAGCCCGCGAGTTCAGAGTGTTTGTTGCAGACGGCGCCTGGATCTGTCGCTTGGTGGCGGCCACTTGCAGCTCTTCGACTTTGCCAGCCTCACTCAGTATTTGTCATACAAGTGAAGTATTTGTACAGTTGTTTGCAGTTTACGCTCTGTGACTCGGACTCGCCAGATGAAGCTAACAGTTTGCCGGCCAATTTACCGGGTTTTTGGGGCTTCGGGTTCAAGCAGCGACTCATGTGGAGCTCTTGCTCTGTCGGCTAATTCTCGAAGGGACAGGTCTTTGTCGAGGGGATAGCCCCTCGATTTCTTGACACCATCTCCAACTTCTGTAAAACCACCAGCCAGCCCCGCAAACACTTCTGACTCCACTCCTGTACTTGCCTCGACCTGCCCCGTTCCGGCATTCGCACTATGTAAGACCTCCTCACTCGTGACCAAACTTCACCTGCAGCTGGACTTCACTGTGCTGTGTTTGCCGTTTGTCTCCTGTCCTGCTCTCCTGGCATCCTTTGGTCGCTGGGCCTTCCTTTCACCTTCATTCCAACTCCACTCAGGGCCCAAACCCCTCCATGCATACATACATACATGCATGCATGCATGCATGCATGCATACACACGCACACTGACATTCACATAAAGATGCAGATACACATGCACACACACACACACACGCGCGCGCACACATACACATACACATACACATATACACCTCTACACATATTTTTTAGCACTCGCGCTCGACGAGGTCATCCCCACCCCGTCAAGAGAGCCTGCCAAACTCTCACGAAATCCAACAGCACTTCAAAGCCTTCGATCCCAAAGCCTTTCTCTGGGGTCTTGGCCGAGAGCCGTGCTCCTACGGAGCTGGCGTCAGTGGCTTCTGTGGCCACTGTCGACAACATCATGAGCCGAGAGGCTTCTACCAACGTACATACCTACCTACATTGTACCTACATACGTGCCTACGGACATACCTACCTTACTTACCTACATACATACACACAGATAGATGCATGCATGCATGCATGCATGCATACATACATACATACATACATACATGCAAGCAATGCATGAATGACGCGTCCGAATTCGTGCTCGTTGCGACTGGGAGGCGAAGGGATCGCCTTCCAAGAAGCTTACGGCTTTCTCATCCTCCTGGTCCGCGCCAGCCTGCAATGGCTGGGCTTAGCTCTGCGTGCCCTTGCTTCAGTCATTGCTTCCCAACCCGTGCGGCAGGAAGCACGCGCCGCACACTAGACTCACCGGAACTCGCTACCACTGAATGCTCACGGCGCACATGGTTGACTAGAACCTGCACACCCGATCCCGATGGCACACCACTGCTGACGCTGTGGCCTCGGAAAGCCACGAGGACAAAAGCTCCTGAGCCTCCTGCAGAGAGAACGAGCGGCACTAACGGCTACAATAGTTCAGGAGGGATCATGGCATTTTGAGCGCCTTGCAAGCGGATCCCGAAACCGAATCCAAACAGATAACTCGGTTCGAGAGTCCTTGGAGGACAGGTCTGCATCGGCTTCGCGGATTCGGTGCTCCATTTCCTCCGGTGGCTCGTCGTGAATCAGAAACACTGCAATGGAACTTACATTATTAACCCGCGTAGTTGGAAGGCCGATCCACCAAAGGACCAAAACTGCGAAGACCCGAGAAAGGTCCTTCAGCAGCAACCGGCATCTGACCCTCCAGTAGAAGAACTCCCGGGAGCGCCGCCATTCCAGTCCCTGAAGCAGGGTCTCGGGATGGCTCCCCGGCAGACAAACACAGTGTGTATTCCGGACGCTGCCCGCGACACGGCAGCTGTTTGTTTCATTGTTAAGGATCAACGAACAACCACCGACGGCTGCCAGTTTCCTGGTGGTGAGCTGTTGGGATTAAAGCATGCTACGCTTCCGTAGGCCTTGCGAATCACACCTTTGGCTTCCATGCGCCCGGTGCGATCGTGCAGGTCGGCAAACTCGCAAGCGATCTGAGTGTAGAGGGGCTGAAGCTTGTCCTGACCATCACAGCTGCAGTCCCGGTTCCATTGCATCAGCCATGGCTTTCCAGGCGTCTCGCGCGGTCCTCGCGGGCTTTGATCTGCGCCTCGATGTCTTGCGCTGCACTGCCGACCTCCGAGGATGAAGACTCCTGGAGCAGAGGCGAGGCTTCCGAGGCTTCGATCTCGCCTAAAGCGACCCCCGACACCGGCCTCAAGCAATGCATCATACTTCCGAAGCTCGGGATCTAGTCGATGCATCAGCTCCTGCATGCAAAGGCTTCCTTGCCCGACCCGTTTCGTGAACTCGAAACGAAGCCCTCGGTCCTTCTGCTGAGCTGCGCGGAATTTCACCTTCGCCGCCGGGCGGTGGTTTCGTTGGTTTGGCTTCTCCCATCCGTCTGACAGCTTGCCCCATCCTTGTCCCGAAGTGCCTGGCCTCCACGATTCCGGGTGGCTCAAGAATGCCGCCTCGAGAATCAACATCGGCATACATCTCCTGGCGGAAGCATCGGACTTTCTCAGCAGCATCACTTTCTGAACAAAACCTGCTTGCAGCTCAAATTCCATCTGCTCCGGATTGATGGTCGGGTCGATGACGACCCACGATCCACCACGCAGCTCTCCCCCTGGAGGAATGTACACAAAAACCGGGCTCTTGTACTCAACGAGCGCATCCACGATCTGCGCCCCAAACTTTAATACTTCCTGGTACATGTCGCGGGTGCCACCGGAGAAGCCACGCCAATTCGCGAAGATGATCAAGGGGAGGTTCTCCCCACGGTTGAAGTCGCGGATAGCTGTTGCTGTCTTGAAGGCACTGTCTGGAAACCATACTTGACCCGCCTGTGGCTCGACAACTTCTTGGCTGGCAGGGTTAGCGGGATCCGCCGGGATCCGGCGGTCCACGTTGCCTGACCACACCAGAAATGTTCATGCTTTCCCACAGCTGAAACAAAATCGGTCACCCCTCTAACCATGAGCCACGGCTCGTGTCTCCACTGCAATGACGCCCATGGGAATGCCACCGAGCTTGCCCCTGCCCACGATGACGCTTCGCCCCCAGCCAGCCAAGTACCTTCAGCGCATAGGCTTGCCAGCGAATGACACTGTGCACTGCACGATGGTTGTTCTGCCAAAGAGCTCCCTAAACGTGCCCGCATCGAAGAATCCTGTGAGCTTGCTGCCCTCTGGTGTAGTTACACCTGGCAAGCGTCCGAGAGCGGCGTCCCGAGATCGTGTGACGAACAGCTACTGTAGTGCCTAGCATCACTCTAAACTAGCATGCTTGACGCATGACCAGTCTTCGCCAGGCAGACCTTCCAGCATGTGTCGTGGGTCGTAGGGCGTCTTGGAGGGAACAAAGGTGACATCGCGCGAGACCGGATCCACAGGGTCCAGGAGCGGCGGGTTGGCCGAGGCCACTTTGGGCACAAAGGACCTTCGTTCAGTTCTGCTTCTAGGGCAATCCATTCATGTCACATTTTCTGGCATCTGTCAGGATCACCTGAGGCTTGAGTCAAGTCGCAACCAGTCAAGGATTGCGGCGACCCCTTCTGTGTCATCTGACACGACCTGATCAGACAGAATGCTGCATGTGGCGAGCATGTGGCACTCCTCGCCAACTTGGAAGTCAACTCCTTCAAAAGACTATAACAGCATGATGCTGATTGCAGTCCCACCTGGTGCGTCACACCATTGGGGACCATGACTTGGGGTCCACCGAGCTGATCTTGCGAGGTGTAAACGTTCTTGCCCAGGAGCTTGTTCAGAGCCGAGAATCCTGCAAAAGCGGCGAACCATGCATTCCATACATATTTGCATGCATGCATGCATGCATGCATGCATACAAGCACAAGCATATAGATATATATATATATATTTGTACATATACATGCATACACATACACGCACACACACACACACCCACACACACACACACCCCTCTATCTTGCTTGCATTGCGCGGAGTTTCTTATTCAGACCATAGATGCGCACGAAACAGTATCCTGTCCAGGTCCCATCCATCATCCCCCCAACATCCATCGCTCCGTCCGTCCGTCCATGCATCCGTCCATCCATCCGTCCGTCCATCCATCCCTCCAT